ACCACTGCATGTCATTCTCTACCTACCTCAGCCAAACAAATCCAAAATGATGCATTGATCATGCCCAGATAATAACAAAGCTCTCATTCCTGCAGGTACGAACAATATAATCTTCAATAATTCTTCGTCTGAGAAATATTGTGAAAAATCATGGAGGGTGGCGGGCGATGGTGCAACACGTGCTCTAACATGGTGAACCCAATGAGGGAAGGAGAGAACAAATGCCCAGTTTGTGGGTCAGAATTTACAGAGGCAATAATGGAGAGTCTGAGATCAGAGCATAACGAAGGCAGCGATTTGATCAGATCAGCCTCTGTATTCTCTCTTTACGCGCCAATATTACTGGGCTTGATGAGTGCTCTCAGACCTGCTTTAGCAACCGTCAGCAATAATAACAACATCGATGGTTTAAGTTCAAGGGAGGGGGAAGACGACGAGCAAGAGGTGGAACAGCGCAGTGACCTTGTGGTGAGAAGAAGAAGGCGAAGAAGAGCATCGTCCACTTCTCTCATGCTGGTCTTTCGTCGTGTCCACGATAGGACGGGCCAGCCAGAATCTGATCAGAATACTAACACAGAAAACAACCATAGAAACAATAACGGTGGTGATAGCAATAATAACGTGAACCTCAACGTGGTTGTGATTGATCCGTTCAACGAAGAGGCTTTGATTCTGCGAGGTCCTTCACTGATTAACAACGCTACGAGTACTACTCCGTTGATCGAGAATCCGATGGGGTCTCTAGGTGACTTTCTGGAGGGGCCTGGGTTTGGGTTGTTGCTGCAACATTTGACGCAGAATCATGAACCTAATAGATATGTGAATAACGTGAACCCGCCGGCACAGAAGGCGGCGATAGAAGCAATGCCGACGGTGATCACGGTGGAGAACATGCAGTGCATAATATGTTTGGAGGATGCAGAGATTGGGAGTGAAGTGAAGGAGATGCCGTGTGGGCATAAGTTTCACAGTGACTGCATTATCTCGTGGCTGAAACTTCGGAGTTCTTGCCCGGTTTGTAGGTTTCAGATGCCGTCCGACGCTTCCAAGGTTGAAGTCAACGGTGGACGTCGGAATGAAGGCGATCCGAGCAATGATCAAGTGATGGATAGAGAACAGAGGATGAGTTTTGGAAGAAGGAACTGGCTTTCCATATTGCAGCCATTCGATTACTTTCTTCCTTCTCCTTGAAGAAACAATTCCCTCTCACATTTAGGACGTAATGTTCATAGATGAACTTTTTAGGACGACTTGGATGTCAAAGCTTTTATTTTCTTTATTTTTTTTATTTATATTTTGCCAACAAGTTGAATGTCAAAGCTTTAATGAAAAGCTTACAGTTAATAAATAGTTTTTATTAATAAAAAACCTGAGAGCTTATGCATTCTTTTTATATTTTATTCAAGTATTTATTGATTAAAGATATCCAGGTCATGTAGCTTATAAAATAAGTTGACATCATAATGAAACTAACGAAGCAAGGGACAAGAAAGGAATGTGATCCGAAAGTTCTATGCACGGTGAAAAACCAACCTCTGGCTCTTTATTTGGTGTGCTCACATATGTATAAGAGTTGCAGTATGCAATGAACAAAACAAGAATGCGTGAAAGCCCCTTGAAACATGAAAAACGAATCCTGTGATGACATTGGTTGCCGCAGGGGCATTCTTCTTTTGCAAAAGCCACATTCTTTTTTCTTTATTTTTTTTTGTTTTTGGTCCTTACAGAATCTTTTGTTGCTATGTCAACTCGTTTCTCTGCAACTCACGTTTAGTTAGCTCACCTCTTTGTTCCAGTTCTCTTACCCCTGGGGAATCGCATTCTCCTGATAAAGCATGCAGTGTAACATAAAGGTCTTGAAGATTATCTCATGGCGGAGAGCCGTTGCTTTCAACAATCTGTAACGATCTCTTATCAGAATTTCCCTCACAAGTATGAATCAAACAGAGCATTTTTCCCAGACGGAAAGAAATTAAATCAAATAGACTAATTAATATTATATCAAGAGAGGAGAGTCTCATATCTTGAACTGTCTTTTATGGTGATTAATGTGAACATAGGTTGGTGAAAAGAAATGACCATTGAATCAATCCAAGCTAAGGCCTCAGCCACTGAAAAGCAAGCATTAAACTGGACAAACTTGTCATGAAATGCCAAACTGACAATGCTTAGTCATAACTGATTAAACTGTCTTGAAAGGAATCCGCCTACAGTTTCTAAAGGCAACAGCTTAGTGGGCAGAGGGAACCCATTTTTCGTGGATCTTAGAGAAAGAACAATTAAGTTCCTGATTTGAGAATCACATCTGTCAGGTTTCTAGTTTAAGATTCCTTTTCCATGCCATGAAGTGCACTTAACTGGCCCCCTAACATTATGGGGAATAACAATAATGTCAATCTGTACTTCTATTTCAGCCAATGTCATTTCTTGGTGGTCACGTGATTAAGTACGATGAGTGTCTCATCATTATTTTGAGTATGATTTCCAGTAACTCCTTGAATAAGCTTCAACTCTTGACATTTCTCACATCCAAAGGTGTGTATATATTCGGGACTTGATGGAATTATAGAAAGTTGCATAAAAGGAAAGCCAACTAAAATCTAGTCCTGAACGGAACAATATTTACAGAAACAGTTTGCCAAAGCCTATAAAATCATTTTCAAAATGTTGGTACTTTCCTGGATCCAAGAATATTTAAGAGAAGTTAGAGCTGTTAAAAAACATCAAAGACATGTACTTTATGTAAGCTTACCATAATTTGCAAGATCCATGGGTTCTGAAAAGGTTTATCTTAAATCCTCTGATTCATTGTATATATGGTGAAGGTAAGGTATAGACTGTTGTTCATGTAGGAGTCCAGGACCCTAAAATACACTTTCAAGCACTAAATGCCCTTAACTTTCAATCTAATATATATATATATATATATATATATACACACAGAGAGAGAGAGAGAGGGCAATGAAACAACTTGTCTCATCATGATGCGAAATTCTAGCATCAATAAAAGTAATAGTGGTTTTAATAACCATTAAATTGGTTGTCAAAAGACGTGAATTATTGGTTGTCATTGCAATACAATATTCCTGATGTGGTACCAAATCAGGTTTCTTGCTTAGTTGAATCTCACTTACATGAAGCCATACGACTAAGCTTTTCTGATTTATCTTGTCAATGCTTGCTTTTGCTATTTCCTCTTAGTTGCCGAATAAGTTCTCAGGAATCAGAATCAATTGATGTCCCAAAGAGATACATTAGAATCGATTTCATTTTATTCCTTTTTGCTCTTACTTTTGGAAATTAGCTCTTTCAATTTTAAAATAGCTACACCTGATTGACCTGCTGTCTTGCATGTCTACTCAGTTATCATGCATGTTCTTATTAATCAATAAAACCTACTACCTTCGATCTTTAATATCAGACCTTGTTTAACTTTTATTTTGGTCCTAAATATAAAATCCCAATCCACTTTATCTCTCATATTTATACATTTTTTTTCAAGATAGTCCTTCACCAATACACTTGATTAGTAAGGATATTTTAGAAAAGACAATACAAATTTATTACAAATAACTAACTTAACTTCTTTTCTTAATCTCCTCAAATTAGTCAACTAGCTCTTATAATTAGGACCAGAGGTAGTATTTTTCTACATATTGGGAATAATAGTAAGTGGTAGAATTTATTCTGCACTAGTTGTTGATCACATAAATGATTCTGTGCTCTAAAAACAATAATTCTTGGTTGTTAAATACATGGATTGCATTGCAAATAAAACAGCATAAGCATAATCGACTAACAACTGACACATGTTGGGAGGCATAAATCCTGAAAATGAATCAAACCAAACTATTTTTCAACAGTTCCTATTAGTTGGCCAAATTAGAGCACACGATGCACACATATCGATTACTTTGCTTCAGAGTCTGCTATCTTTGTACATCTGAATTCATGTTTTTGTGACCTATTTGCAAGTTTAACAATAGTATGTATGAAATTTTACGTCTGCAGGTTTGTGAGTTCAACGGCACTACAGATTTAGAAGACAAACTGAAATTTCAACCGAAGCACGAGTCTAGACAACTGGTAATGGTCTATATTATTCCATAGGCCAATGTCTTAGATAAAAAGCAAGCATGAATGTCAAGTTTAGATGATACATTCGCACGTTTTTCTTTTTGTCACTTGGTCCCGTCTAAGCCGGTTGGACCAAAAGAATTGGATCCTTAGTTTTATTCTATTCTTTGTGGTCTACATATGCATCAAACTTATCAAAAAAAAAAACATAAAAAAAACTAAATTCTTGTTTTATTCTTTTCTTTGAAAAATCTCCAAGGACTTTGAGAAGCATCTCTCCACCGTTATTCTTTTTCTTGAATGTATCTGTCAGTATCCATTTCTTGGTGCCCCAGTCATAAGGAATCTTCTTTTCTATATTCTTTATAACATGACCAGTTATTGCATTCGTTTGGAAGCCTTGCCAAATCCTTCGGTTTAGAATACATTCACCCAAGCCACATTAGTAGTATTAATGATGTTAGTAAATTAACTATCCAAAGAGAGTGACAAAGACTAATGAGTGCAAGAATCTTCGATGAGGAAAAAGGAGGTAAAGTGTGGTTTTTGATGCTTTGAGGGAAAGAAAAAGTTTAATTTGTGATTCCAAACACAAAATTCTTCTTTGAACTTTTGGAATGAGGTTCTTGCCTTTACCAGAAGGACAAAAATATATGCAGGCTTAAGCAGATACAAGTTGATAGGTCAATTTTAGTACCAAATGCAACGTTTGAGGTGTCTCAGAAAGTACAGTGAACATAATTTCATTGGGAAGAGTTTCCTTTAGAAAGTGAAAGTGGAGAGAGGTCATAATAATTTTCAAAGAAACTCCGAATATCGTATGAAGTTTAGCTCTGAATTGCTTTTGTACAAGATTCTATGCTTCACTTGGTGCCCCTTATGTGGTCATTTGCTTTATAAGGACATCTCTGGGTACAACTGAGGCATGTGAAAATCTTGTTGGGGAGAGAAAAAAATCGTACAGAGCTGTTGTGGAAAACTACTCATATTTGAAACCTCAAAGGAATAGCATTTGAAAAATACAGCACAACAAATTCCAACTCTCAGGGTCTTTGAATCTTCGTCAGGTAATAAGATGATCTTCATGAACTTAATTACTGTTTGTGCTTCTGGGTAGATTAGTAAGATGATTTTGTTCACAGAAAATAGAGAATGTACTATCATCAGCAACAACAAGCAAAGAACATTCATTCTTTAACGATGTCCAACCCTCCTGAGAGGCATATGATCGTCCATGGTGGACGTGGAACTGGAGACTCAGGACTTGTCCTCTCAACTGATGCTAAGCCTAGACTAAAATGGACACCAGATCTCCATGAACGCTTCGTAGAAGCAGTTAATCAGCTAGGAGGGCCAGATAGTGAGTCTATACTACTTAATGATTGTGAATTAGAAAATATCATTATTTTAGAGCTGCTCCTAACTACATTGCCCTTGCAGAAGCTACACCAAAAACAGTATTGAAACTTATGGCGATTCCCGGACTTACTCTATACCACTTAAAGAGTCATCTACAGGTACCCTTTTTCTTGTTTTACCTTGAAAGTTCCTCAGATTTTCTAGGATCAAGGTCCTCTCCATTTTGGTCATATTCAGTTGATTAGATTGCTAATAAACACACCATAATGTTATGTAAGTGACATCGTCAGCTTAATTAGGTAAAGAAATAGGAAACACAAGATAAAATTTCCCACTTGTAGATGGTCGGTTGTTTTGAATTATCATCACCCTTTTCTTTACACTGGAAAACCAAAGCATTTCTTTTCTTTTCTTTTCTAAATCTAAGCCTTAAAACCCATTATACCATAGAACCTGCTAAACACCAAAAGTCCAATTTTGTAAAGTTTTCATCCCTTTTATATGTTTAGTTTCTAACCCATTTTGGACAACAGAAATACAGACTCAGTAAAAATCTGCATGGACAGGTCAATAGTGGAGCCTATAGAAACGGTGAGGGAATATTTTTTCTTATCCTTTCTATGTATTCCATGAGTTCCTTGAGAGATGTGTAGAAATTACCTTATATGAAGCATAGAATCCAGAAAAGAATTCATCTCACTAGCTTAAATTGCAGAAGCGGCAGGCCAAATTTATGAGACAAGTGAAGTGCATACGAAAAATTTGAGCATCAGACCTCAGACAAACAAGTAATAGCACATAACTTGTCTTGTTCAGATTTTCAGTCATTAAGCGTCCGTTGTTTTCTTTCTCTATTTCTAACAAGGATGGGCCTTGAATCCAGGAACTTAGAAATAAACGAGGCACTACAGATGCAAATTGAAGTGCAAAGAAGGTTGCATGAGCAGCTCGAGGTATAGGACATCGCAGAACATCGACTTGCTCATCCATATCTACTTTTATTTGCGAGGGCTACTTCCATGTTGCTTATCTAAGATGTAGCTCATTGATTTACAAAATTTGACATTCAATATGTGTGTGTTCTAAGCTGTGATTAGTTCACTTTTGATGAGCGTAAAACTGTATCCAAATCTTTAATCAGGTACAGCGACACTTGCAGCTTCGTATAGAGGCTCAAGGGAAGTATCTCAAGGGAGTGCTGGAGAAGGCCCAAGAGACACTAGAGAAACAGAATCTTGGCACAACAGGACTTGAAGCTGCCAAGGTTCAACTCTCTGAACTGGCGTCTAAAGTATCAACTCAATACATAGAGCCTACATTTTCAGAGATAAAAGAATTACAGGCACTATGGCCTCAGGAAGCACAAGTGACCAAAACCACCAATTTTTCGATGGATGGCTACTTGACATCTAGCGAAGGATCTCAGAGAGACCAAGACACACATAACGCAGGCTTAAATTTGAGACTATGTGATGGAACTCCATTTTTAAGGTCAAAAGAGGATGCTCCAGAGCCTACTCTTCTGAAGGCTGATCTCACATTACGTGACCAATTGCAGGAGAAAATGTTGTTTCTTTCCCCATCAAACGATGATGCACATAAAAGAAATTCAAAACTCATACCCCAGGATGTTGGACTTGAAGGAGAAGAAAGCTTGGGGAAACTGCCTGTTTTGAAGGAAGATATGAAGTTAGAGGAAGAAAGCTGGTTGAGAAAGGAAAGAGCTGAAAATGGGGTTGTGCCAGGTAAACTGAACTATGAGAAGATTTCTCAAGACTATAGGCTACCTGACTATGAGACCGCACTAGACCTAAATGTTAATGATAAAAATGATGCTTCTTCTAACTGCCAACAGTTTGACTTGAATGGATTTAGCTGGAATTGCTAGATGATATTGTTAGTGACTGAATTCTAGAAGCCATTGAGTTTGAGTTCCTCCAGCAATAGTTCCGCACTGGAGACAATCACTGGAGCCTGTATTATGCATATGTGTAGCATGGCCCAATGGAGATAAACAAGATAAATTTCTCCAACAACGACACACTAGACTGTGAGCTGTGTTTTGTATGAGATTTAAGATGACTACACTGTTATTATCTACGAATAGTGTAACTTTTTAAAGATTTTGTATTATATAATGATGATTGCTTGTATATTTATACAGACGGTATGACCGTTATATAATAAACATCATGTTTTCCATAGTCCAAAGCCCATTTTCAAACTGCATCGATTCAATAGTTATGAAGTGTTAAAAAAAATCTCTATCTGACAAGGTGGCTTTGTAAACAGAAAGATCACTCCAAAGTCGTGAATATGCATGAGTTCACCACAAAAAGATGTAGAAAAAATAAAAATAAAAAAGAAGAAAGGAAAAAGGAAAACAGATTAAAAAGGAGAGTAGCCTCCAAGTCATTTTGACACAGGCTAGAAGAAGAGGAGCAGATTCTGCCACTGGTGCCTATAAAACAAATAGCAGAGCTAGAAATACAGGCAAGGTCCAAGTATTGATGATTTATGAAATTCTCAATGGGAATTATAAAATCATTTGAGTTAATTTTCAGATACCTTCATTGATCCATAGAAATTAGCGGAAAACCAGAGCAACGGGAAAATATTTCATATTATTTCAACTCTTTGCTCGCATTGGAAATGACCTTCACGTTCAAAACCTACAATCTACAAAGAACAATTATAGTCGTATAAAATGTTCTGCACATGCTCAGAAAAGATGTGGTGAAAAGAACAACAACATAAAATTCAATATCAATCGCTTTATCATTGTATTTTTTTTCTTTTAATAGTTGTCGGTGTACCTCTGAGACTCTCTATGAGTATCACTGCTCACATGGTTTTGATCCCAGAAAATTCTTTATTACTCCTCCATTGTTTCTCTTCTTGAAGAAAGTTTATAACATTAAAATAAATGAAAGAAAGCTAAAACCATACTATCTGGAATTCAGAACGCCCCTGCAAAGAAGAAAACGTAGATGATAAGATATGTATGCCTTCCATAAGAATTTGTAAATTTATAAACGAAAGGAATCTTTGGTTGCAACATTTGTTAGTAGCAGAGTAAATTTGGTAATCATATTCATATCTTGTTTAATTTTCCAAAAACACAATGACTTGGCATATAGCCTTAAATAAAATTAGAAGCTTTATATGGTAATATTTGATGGACATGGATTCTACCACTTTTTCTATCTCTTTCCAACCGAACCATGTGTCCACTAGAGAAAAAGATGTCTCACATAGAAATGTAATGAATCCTTCATATTTAGCATCTCGCTCTTACCATTTATCCGACCAGCCAAAAAATGGATATACCAATTTTTATATCCCAATGATAAATGAGAACTTACCTTAAAGTTATCAGGCATGAGAAAATATATAGGTTATGTTTAAATATTGCCGACCTTGACAAGGAATCTTTAATCTTCAATTGTCCATTCACAGAAAATAATTACCCCACCGCATGTCAAAATTGCCAGCAAGGTATTGTCCATATAAAAACCAAAAGGCATTTTCTTGCATGGTGATTTAGAGTTCCTAGATTTTTCCCATTTTGATAAAGTAGCTCATAGCTAGCCTGCCGGGACAGTACGGTTTTGTCATAATTAGTTCTTTCTGATATATACTATATAGCGTATTCTGACATCCCTCATGATGCAGTAATCTCCATTTCCTTCTCGGATTTCCTATTTTCTAGTCGCAAATATTAAACTTGTGCTCATTAACTGTGCATGGTCATGTTAGAAAGGACCCCATATCCTGATGAAAGGTACCATAAGCTGATCAGAGATGAGAGCGGCAATAATGTCGTATGTGTTCAGAAGATGAAGGGAACAAAAGTTGACGTGAGAAGGAATGAAAAGCAGATTCCTGTTTAGGTGGAACCCTAGAGTGGCAGAGAAAGGAATCGGAACCAACCCTATATACAATATACGTACAGTACACTGTATCTATATGTTACTGCATTGAGTGCTGAACAGACCTCGGTCTCCGTGAAGTTAAAACCGCCCATATATTATCGGCCGCAGTTGCAGTATACATGTGATCACCAACACCCATCTCTGTGATCTGATGATATGTTCATTACTTTCTGGTTTCAAAGGATAAAAAGCAAAAAGATTCAACAATTTCCATGGCAGTGCATTTCTTGGTTGCCAAGTTTGGATAGGCTGCCTCTGAGTGTGCCTCGGTACACGGATGGATATTTCTAGTGCGTTACATATTTTTGTTCAGAGAAACCGATACATAGCCCAGATAAGAATTGTCTGTCACGTGAACGGTGATGTACAAATATATTTTTGTATATGATGATTTCTCTCTCTTCCCCTTCCGATTTTTATCTATAAATTCTCCAGTTCTGTGAAGTTGGTATTCACCTCTTGGCATCCCTTTCCTTATAGTCTGCCTTTTCAGTGTTGATATTTTCTCCCTGGCGTGCCTTGCATGTAGGGTCGGAAAGGGGAGTGCAGCCAAGGATGACTTGCCGGATTCTATATATTCATGACTTTGTCTGTGTATGGAGTTCCCATATATATACAGGTATTCATGTTTATGAAATCTGGCAAGTTGTCTTTGGCTACATGCTTCTTTCTGCTTCTCATGCCAGGCCTCCTTGGTGATGATTTTATGGCTGATCTTCACACAAAATCCCTCTAGGCCCATCTCTGCAGATTCAAATCCTACAATAGTGATTCCATCAATTCTCTGAGTCATTAACACTGTTTTTAATTTGCATTCTCGATCTGTATAGGGATGCTGAGCCTCTTTCATCTTCCGTGGTATAGCTCATGAGTCTTGTGGGGGCTCTTCTTGAATCTTTTTTCCTCATAATGTAAGGACTTGCTTTTCTTATTCATTTGATAAGATATATGGTCACAAGCTTTTTGGACATAAACCATGTGAATCTTCTCTTTCGTTGTCAACTGTTACTTCTGTTCTAGTAGTAATGTGTAAAAAGTTCTTTCTGGGTTGTTCTGAATCTGCATTTTGCTAGCTAGGTTATATTAATTAATGACATTCTGTGTGAGTTTATTAGTAAGTTGCCCCACTGTTGTTTTCTCGTGGATAGCTAATTTTACTCTCCATGATATTGCAGTCACAAGAAGGCTTTTTACTTCTAAGTGGACTTGTGGTTCAGCAGAATGTCCATCGCTGAAGTAGTGCATAAGCTTTGTTTCATCAGAAACCACAGCTTTTATTTTGGTTTGGTCCGTTTTCAGTTTCACAATTAAAATGTGCTTTCAGTTTCGTATAACGGTTATTCGACTTTCATAGGCGAAAGGTATTGTTAGTCAAACGAGGTTGACGGGTGTTGGTGACCTGGACCATCAAATCAAAGCTCGCGTTACTCATGTAACATACCAACTCTAGTCCTATTTATAAGAGCTAATTGATTAATTTGAAAAGATTAATGAAAAAAGTTAAATTAGTTATTTGTAATAAATAGATATGTGTTTTTCTTAAAATATCCTTACTAATCAAGTGTATTGGCTAGAACTACTATTGTTAGAAGAACTATATTGGAAAAAAATGTATAAATATGAGAGACAAAATAGATTGAGGTATTATATTTAAGATCAAAATAAAAGTCAAACAATATCTTATATTAAAGACTAGAGGTAGTATAATTTTATTTTTACTTTATGATTTACTTTCATTGTAATCATAACTTTTTTACCATTTAATTATAATCATAACAAGTCCGACATGCATTTGAGAGATTATTTTGAAAATAAATTAAGAGACGATTCTGAAAACATACGTCAAGCACCTCAACCAAAATAATTCTCCACTTTGTCTCGGATTTTGTAAAGCGTCCTCACAAAGAACGGTGGAAACACAGTGTAAATTAAAGAAAAAATTTAATTATTTCATCCGTATAGTTTTGAGTGGATTTTAAGTTCTAACTCTGAGTTTATAATTTTTATTTTTTTAGTGCAAGTTTTTATTATTTAAAATATTGGTACCCGTGTTTTAGAAAATAAAATAATAAATACAAACATTAATTTTCAACCAAGAGAATAATGTTTTAAATAGCTAAATTATCAACAATGAGTTCCGAGCTAAAATTCAGGAACTAATTTTTATACAAAAATTTAAAGATTAATTGCAGTTGAAGCGAAATTATAGGAGCAAATAATTAATTTTCTCTAAATTAAAAAGACCGGAGTAAAATACAAATAAATAAATGATAAATTAACCAAGCAGGGGCGGGCAAGTCGGCATCGCAACAATTAAGAAATGAAGGGAGGCTGCTTTCGATTCAATTATTGAAGTAGGAGACGAAAAAGAAGGACTTGCATTGGGACACATGGATGGGGCCAGATCCAAAAGCAACATTGAAGTCTATCTAATGGGCCCCAAAGGCCCACTAAGTTGAAATTTTCTTGGCGGCACCACTCACCTGACTGACTTCCCTGCCAAGTGTCAAACTAAGCACGATCCACGCAACCTTATCCGCGTCCAGGCATATCATGCCTTTGATTTTCGGTTTCCTGTGTCCCAAATGCTGTTTCCATTATACTCCTTTAAAGTCGACACGTGGGAACTTTCATGAACACCGCCACCAGACACCTGTGTATTTTCTTACTCCCGTTTCCTTTCATCTTAGCCGGTTGTTATCCCTGGCGACTCGAAGACACGCAAGTCTGTTAGCCAAACGGATTGGGACTGTCCTTGTTCGTGAAAACACACATCACCATCAAATGCACTCAACCCTCAAAACTTTCTAGTAAGAAAATGTTTAGATAAAATCTAAATCATGATTTTAAAAATAATTTTATAATATACTAAATAAATATGTGAATAAGAAAAAAAAAAAACAACGGATTGAACCTAACAAAAGTAGGATCGTCTATTGGAAAGTAGAAGGATATGCAATCTTGTACCAGCACAAACATCACAGAACATAGCACTATTTGACATTGTACAGCACACTGCTATTCCCATTACAATTCATATCACCAACCAGGCTGGGATCTCAGGGAAAAAAAACATACAAATCCATCAGCCTGAAGCAGCCAGGGGGGAACAAATAACAACTTCACCTTTGTTGGCTATAAAAAAAAACCAAAAACAAAAAAAAACACCTTCACTTTTACTGCTACGAGATTATACGCTAAAGATACACTGTACAAGGCTTGTAATCAAGAGATGAGGCATGTTCACAAATTCACCGCCTCAACGCCCAGCAGTGCTCAGACTTCTCTCCTTGTGCACTTCGCAGGACTTGGGGTTCAATGAAGTTAATGGAAGGGGCTGCGAACCAGGAGGAGCTGTCTGTGCAGGGGCTTCATGCATGACTTCATCTGGTTTTGGTATGTAAGTGAATGACAGATCCTTGTTGGCAGACAGAGCCAAGAGCTCTTTCTCCTCCAATCCTTTGGTTGGGCCCAAGCTGCATCTATCCGGGGTGTGTTTGGCTAATGCATCTTTGAACTTCTTGATCTGTAATTAAACCATCAACTTTTATCAGCTATTTTCGTTCTCCTCTTCAGAGGCCGAATGGAGAACAAGGCGCAAATGAAATGCATCGTGATTCTGAATATAATGCGGCCCGAGAACAATCCTATAGACAACACAAGAACCCAAACATTTCCACGATTTGAGCTAAATATCGACAATTTACAGACACAAGGACCGCAAAAATCAACACCAAAAGGCCTAAATAACAATCATAGACAATCAATTCATACCAGAAACGCACAACCACTATGAAAGATCAAACATGTAATCATGTAATCGAGTAAAATATTATTCACAAAGAGTAAACTAACCGTGGCATTAGTACAGCTAAAGCTGCATAAACGACCATGGGCGCCTCTGTAGAAGCGGAAGAAGGGAAGGACGTGGACGTTAAGACTATAACACATAGATTTATGCTCCTCATAATTCACTTGAAGGAATTGAACATCTGGATTCATCTCTGCCAGTTGACATATCTGCCGCAGCGCCAACGAAAAATCAGAATTACTATTCATAAACAAGAAAGACATGAATCCTCGATTCAGGAGAGCTCTGCGAATAGGCCAATGGCGAATACCTTAGGATGGAGAGCTCTGCAACCACCACAACCAGGAGAAAAGAAATCAACAACCACCAGCTTGTCCCCCGCGTTTAACAGGGAGTCCACAAGGTCCTGGGCCGAAGTCACCTCCCTCATATTTGGTTGAAGCCCTGTTTCCCACCATTTCTGAGCTTTACCAATTCCAAGGGTCATCTGCAAATGCCATGACAGGAACAAGATTAAAACGGATATTCAATTAAGAAAATCAATAAATGGGAATCAAAGAAATTTCCTCATAAAGGACCCTCGGAAGGAAACCAAATGAGGATCGGAACCACCAGAAGATCCTTTACCATTAGCGGACGAACTCAATTGAACTTAAAATATAAAAGAGGAGAAGCATCAATTTATAATTTAAAATTTTGATTAGAAATGGTGACTTGAACGATTAGAGCCGAGACCGTATTTTATTCTTGATAAAACTATAAACTAAACCAGATTGTGTTTAATTCTGAAAAAGAATATCCCAATTTAGACACACCATGGGGAAACAAGTGATGGGGGGAATAACCAACCTGAGCTGCCGACGAAGACGGAGAGAGAGATTTCCCTCTGCCAGGCACGCGAGCAGACTCGTGAAACACCAGTTTTTTGCCATAGAGTTCAGAAGACGAAGAGGAGGGAGATCTGACAGCCTGGGATTTTAGTTTCAGAGAAGGAAACCTTTTCACAGGGCAAGAAACACAAGAATCATAGCTAAGAATCTTTGGGCATAAAGAAATTTTGCGGAGATGTTGCTGCACATCGTCGTGCCAAGTGGAAACCAAACCAGTCTGGTTCAAAGCCTTCGCCATTGAGTAGTGATGCCGAGTCTAACTTTCAGTTTGACAGAAAATCGAGACAGGATAAACGAACGAGGTAAATAAATAAATTAAAAAAAGACGCTCCTCCTGGAAATTGCAGAGAATCGAAAAAGTTTTCTACAGTTTCGCAATTGACGACGAATGAAACGGGTGGGTGGGATCGGACGGTGAAACAGAGATAGTGGGAGTAACACGGTGCGAGATATGGGGGCAGCGTGGGAAAGGCGCGTGACGGAACTTCCCAGTAGGAACACGTGGCATCCTGGAAGCTGCTTTCATAATTCATTCATTGAGTAAGAAACCGAAAAATGGGGGAAAATAATAAATAAATGGATAAAAATAGGCGGAAATGGATAAAATTAAGGATAAAATGGAGTAGCGTATAAGGCAGGTCTCGTCTTTATCCACCGTAACGCATTGACCAGGATATGTTTTGGTGTCGAAACAACGTACCTCCGATGATCACTCCACTCGCCTTCTCTTGGACGCTTCCCCTGTGAGTGGGGCCGTTGAATTAGTCCTCTGGATTTTGATTCCATTAAGGTCTCTTGGGCCTAATTCATTCTGGGCTGTTGGGCCTAAGCCCACCTGCCACCCTTAAGAACGCTTCCTTTCTCTTGCAGAATAAGGCTTTTTCAAAAAATTGATTGTAAGTTTCCCCAAAAGCGTTGTTGGCCCAAAGCCTCTAGAGCGCAAGAAAAATGGTTAGAAAGGGGGCAAAAAACATTATGCCTTTACGATTACATTTTAGTGGGGCATCTATCCTTTTTATTTTTGGCCAGCAAGTGGGGCACTCATGTATATTATATACAAGGTATAAATATGAAGGGAATTTACACACACACACAGGATAAAATATGTAAGCTTTTCATAAATTATAAAAATCCCGTAATTACCTGTAATGCAAAACTAGTTTTTGATTCAGTTTCACGTGAGACTTATACATACAAATAATTCAATTTCTTTTATTCCTTAGCCATGTATATGCTTATATTCTAAAATGACGAGGTACCCATTATTCTTAGAAAAGAAATATATACTCACAGTGCACCAAAAATAACGTGGAATCTCCATTTTTCGAATAATTAGGATGAAAGCCGATCGCACGACAGAGATCAATGCTAATTAACGAGTGAAGACATTAGATTAGCCAGTGGCCTCATATGCCCACACAACCAGTCGAATTACCAAAAACAAAACAACACAAATATATGTAGTCTGATAGTATCTATCCACTTCTTTCTGGCTGCTCATCAAACGAATTCACACCAGACAAAAGGTGTTTAGGTATAGAAACAGATTTAAAAGTGCTTTTACGGTATACGAAATAAATATAAAGAGGAATTTGTCTCGATTTACGGAAAAGTGTTTCTGGGATTAGCCAAACACTCCCATAATTCAACATAAATGCGGATGGAAATCAGATGGGAAATATTTCAGAAATTCTACGTACCCTGCTTTTCTTCTTTATTGACGTGAAGACTCTGCTTTATTACGATTAGTTCGCTGCCAAGAAAAGAAGGCTTGAGATGGAAGTCTCATACAATTTCCAAGCAGAAGACGAAAAAGCAAAAGAGGACCTGACAAAGTTTCAAGGTTTTCAGTTTCCTCTCAAGTCTCGTGTTTAATTGGCTGGTCACTAGTATATATGACGTGGAGATATTTGCTGATGCTGTGTGATTAAGAATATGATGTCTCATGGGACTATCAAAATATGTGCATATACATCTGCCACCGCACACATAATTATCAGCCTCTGATTTGTCTCAAGGCAGCCTCGGAACTTCGCCTCAAGTTGAATTTAGAAGGAATCAATAATTGTGATGATACACGTTTGATTATCTCAACCAATCTAATAATTAATTAAACCCTATACGCATATGTTTGACACCTGGTCAATAAACTGCTCGATATTTAGGTTTTGGATTAATGACAGCACAGGTCAATAGTTCAAGCGTGATGGTTAGGTTTCGGATACACGTACGCATCTTAATCATCTCTTATTATTATTCATGCGTTTATATTGTGTGGAATTATATGCAGGCATAATAAATATCTGGGTGTGAATATAGAAGTGGAAAAATGTAGAATCCCAATAATTATACGAGTTCTGAAGTTAATAATTAGGACCCAATATCGGTCCCATTATTCATTATAATGATTGATATGTAATTCTGGGGGATGACAGAACCAGGCTTTATAATTGAACCGGAGATTTAATAATACACAGTAACCATGAAAAGCAAGGTTGCAGCCACCTTCCGGCAGCCATCATTAGTCATATTCATTATTATCGTTTGTCATTTGTTAGTAATTTTCATTAATTAAAAGCATCTCATGTTGTATGGAGAATTCGCTGCTCATAAAGCGCCGCTCAGCGACATGATTATGTTTGAGGGTAAGATTCTCTTGCGTTAGGTGAGGGCTAGCTAGCTATGAGGTAAAATCATGTTCAGGTAAGTTCTATATTATGAATTCCGCTTCTAATTATAGTCCTTAAAGTTTCAAGAAGATCCTCATTAATTATTTCATTCGTATATAATTGGCATATCTAGAAAAATCATATAAATGGGTTTACGACTGCAGCTCATAATTGTAAACCGTTGAACTTGAGAACTTTGCTGACTCCTTCAAGTCCACGTCCAGGCTAGGTAAGCATTATTGGAGAAGAGTGACGACCACACACATACACTACCTCCGATCTTAATTATAAGATCTTATTTGTAGACCACAAACAAGGTCTTATAATTAAGACCAGGATAGTATATATTTTGTGGGAGGGTTCCTATTTTTAGAAACTATGGATGGATTTTATTTCTTTTTGGCCATCAAAACTATGGATTGAATATACGCCTAATGAAATGAGTTTCTATTAGTTATTCGCGTGAAAAAAACAGTTAACAAATTGGAAATTGCAACATACGTAGTACATTAGGTGAGATCACCCACCGTCTCCTCTACCAGGAGATATTCAAATAAATTTCATTAAGGTCAAGTGTGCAGGCTCAGTTTTCACACGTATAGACAAAGGTATACATAAAAAGTCCATTTTTAAAATACTTGACAGAAAGAGAAATAACCAGAGGTGGGGAAAAGCGGCGACGATTAATAATTAAATCCCTGCAGAGAATGGATGAATCGTAGAAGATGACATAAGCTGAGGTTGATTGGCCATCAATTTATATACATAAAATATAATGGACATATCATATATATGTGTTCATCAAATCCACTTAGTTTTCAACGAGACAGTGATAGACGATGAATTGCTGGAGAATCCTCATTGGCCGGTGAGCCCCCACACCCACCTTGTTTTCATGCAACAAATCAGGGTTCTCTGATTCACAAACAAGCATATGCTTTTCTTCAACATAATTCATCTCTCTCTCTCTCCCCCCCTCCCTCCCCTCCTCTCTCTCTCTCCCCCCTTCAATGGGTCCATGTTATTACCCTTTTTTCTTGCTTCTCATAAATCATTTCTCTCTCACCCTTTTTCCCATTCTACACTTCTTTTCGCCCCAGGAGTGGAATCTAATGAAACAGACCAGAATAAGACACGACCAATTAAGGCGGTTAAGTTCCCCGCAAGCATAAAACCCGCAAAGAACGCTTCGCTTAGAATGGAAATAAAAACATATGCAGTGATTTTCCCATTCGAGAGATCGATAAACAACCACACGAACCTTGGCCCTAGCGCCACCTGTGCTGTTCTTGCTCCACATGTGAGAGACAGGTGCCCTTTTACCCTTCGCTCTCTTTCTCCCATATCCTCCGACATATATGAGACCAATCTCATCCCTTTAAATACAGTGATATATATACAGACCTATATCTGTGCATTGGCATCAGATGTGTGTTTACATAGTTGTGCAGAGAGAAATAATGAAATATTAATTCAAAACCCATTAGCTAGCTGGCTAAGCCTAGCCAGCAACAGCGAATAGATGAAGGTTGCTTGAGCAAGGTATGGATATGCAAATCTACGAGACATGTGTGTACTATGCATAATGTAGAAAAGTACAAATGTCAAAAACCGGTTGGGAAGAAAGCACAGGCCGCCTTATGGGAACTCAGTGGGAGGCATAGGCACATGCGAGGACTACGAGGTTACTTCGGACACAAGATTCATCAGTTTTAATCTTGTTGTGTCGCGGTTTTATAATTATGCAGCCTGATTATTGCCACCCTATGCTCATATTCTATATCAATTAAAACCCCTTCCTGGAGGCATCCACTGCACACTTTCAGGGAATTCTCCACATGCTTCATCCATTTGACCCATGCCTGTTTCAAGTTCCAGCAGGGATACATATAAACCCACTCTCGCTCTTGTACTAACCAGTCGTTGTACTTATATAACTATATTTCAAATTTCATTAATCTAATCCAAAATGTACTATGTTCTTGATGTCCATATATGGAGCTGTACTATGACGATCAGAACTAATTTGCACGGTTAGCTTCTTTAATTAGTCAATGTGTAGGTCGTAACAGAAGTATAAATGGGGGCGCGTGATCATTTCTTGACGGGAAAAAAGGCAGCAGTCATGTCGTGGTGGGAAGCACTAGGCAAGCAGAACCTTTAAATTCGAAAGTTGAAATTTTAAAAGGAAAAACGTACGATTTTCTTCGGAATTAATGCTGCTGCCTCCCCTCTTGGATGGTGGGGGTTCATATAAATATATTCGACAGGCATAAAATATTACGGGCTAAACCGAAGGGTCTTAAATGAATGCCATAGCTTGATTTGCTTGGAATCTCAACAAGAATATATACATATACATATATATATATATATATATATATATATATATAGCGAGAGAGAGAACAATGATACTAGTGCGCATATTAATTTACACTAAGAAATTATAGCAAAATTCAATCCATATGTACACAAATTACAAGTTGAACTTGGAATAGCTAGCAACTAATCGTTAATTAACAGACGAAATAGATTAATTAAAGAACACAAGCTAAATTAGCATAAAAAAAGAATGACAGGATGCACATGAGTGTTCATCGATCAAATCCCTTGGCATACGTTCTATGAACGAAAATCTATGACGCCGAGACAAGGCTTGGATATCATATATATAATCTGTACAGTATATGTGTATCCAAGAACTTCTAAATCAATCCGCTTATATAGAAGACATTATAAAAACCAGGACTATTTCTGCTAGAAAAAGTAAAACCACAAATTAATGGGCAAACTGGCCTTGGATCTCTTGATGTGGTGATCAATTTGTATGTATTGTATGTTGCGGTCAGTAGTCATCCCAGAGGCAATCCAAATCTGGAAGGGGACCAAGTGATGGAGTCTGGATGAAATCATCCTCGTACACTGTCTTATTCCTTCCGGTGATGTCTCGCCTCACGGACACCGCCGATGAAGTTTCGGCGTTCCTGTCACTGCTAAGCCCGGTATCCCGCGACACACTCGCCATCGAATGCTCCATATTGCACTGTTTTATCCATTCCCCACGACACGTTTTCATTCTTCACAACCCCTCCGACATCTCTGTTCCTGAAATCTGACACAAACATTCTGCTGAAGGCACATACTGGGATTCTGGATGACTCCTATCCGAGGTTGCGAGGGAGGATAAGCGGGGATCATCTCGTAGTTTCTGCAGTCTTCTTCTGCCTTCACCAACGCCGTCTGATTACTGAGATGGTCGTTGCAGGCGAAGTTGGAGAGATAATAACCGTCCCATGACGGCTGCTGGTTGGCCACCTTGAATCCATCGCCGCCACTGTAGCCAGGGTTCGGCGTTACTGAAGCAAGCTGGATCCATGAGAGGCGGGAGCGACGGAGAGAAATCCGGCAGATGGTCTCCGAAAGAGTTGATCCTTAGAAGCTCAGGAATAAGGGGGGCTTTTGACGTCTGTGTTCTTGTGGAAAATCTTGCACACCACCCATTCATCCTGCACCAATATTATCATCATCACCCAAACTGTAAGATTCTCTCCTTATGCCAATTAAACCCAATTAAGCAAAAGCCATGATGATTAAAGGAGAATGTGAAAGGAACCTTCAAACCACATACACAGAAGAGGGGGAAAAGGGCAAAAAAGGTAAAGGAACGGTGATACTATTGATGATGATCAATTTCATGATAAAATTAAATTGGATCTGTGTATGGGTCATGTTTTGGTGATGAGATACCTTAGCGGCCTTGGGAAGGTTATAAGCGGCGAATTTTCCTTCCAATCGGAACTCATGCATAACCCAGCCAGTCTTCTCGCCTTTAGGAGCTCTCCCTCCGTAGAAGACGAGGGTCTTCTTCATCCCCACGAGGTTCCCTTTGCCTCTGTAAATCTCCTTATCTTTCCGGTGGCCTTCCAGTACCCAGAATCCGTCGCCCTATTCGTCCTCGTCCCCGTCGGATACTTCCTGTCTCTTTGACAGAAGAAGTACCACTCTTTCTCCCCCATCCTCGCTCTCTCTGCACAACCCATTCCACACGCATCATATTAAGTCCCCAGTCGATTCATCATCAAATTACTGGCACCAAGGTTCATTAGTCAAATCAATCACGAGATATATATGGGGATAAGGAGAAACTTACTAGGGAGATCCCAAGGTTCGCACTTGTTCAGATCAGCTTCACCAATAGCAGTTGCACTGAAACTGCTATTCAAGACCTTCTCCGTAAGGTAGCAAGTGATGATCTCCTCGTCCGTGGGATGAAATCTGAAACCCGGAGGCAAATCCAGGGCCTCCTCTCCTTTGTCGACCATGATCGGCTCTTGCATCGATCAAACTAAAATCCAAATATGCGTAGTTCTATGTATAATATATACAGAAGATTGTATCTCTATAGTTTACTGGGAAATTAAGAATAATGATAGCAGAAGGGAAAGGAAGAGAGGAAAGAGAGGGGTTATGGAGGTGGTAATTATGAAGAGAGGGAAAAGAGTGGGATACGGAGGGGTTAAATAGTTGAAGGAGTAGAGAGTAGAGGAACACAGCTCATAATCGGAAAGATCCGTGGAGGGCAAGGAACTTTCTGGGGAAGCCTACAATGGGTATTTTGTTCGGATACGTGTATTTTATTCGTATGACGTATGTCGTATCGTCCATTATTTATACATCTACCCTCTCAAAATCACCCCGAAAATTACACATAATGCTAAATTATTCTAAGCAGCCTTCTCATGACCCGCTTCTCCAACCCTCCCTTCATTTTCTTTCTCCTTTAAAATATTTAATTACGACTTTACCCCCACCCTCAACCTAACATTTTTGGATGGTTTCGTGCCCGGTTCCAAGCTTAGTCAAGTCAAGAGAAAATGTATGTATATCAGTATTCGGAATCCAATTCTTTGCGATCACTAACCGAATATATAATTTTTATTATTATTATCATAATCGTCTTCGACTGAATATATAACTTGGTAATCGTTAAAAATATTAATTTCTGTGCGGGGGGGATATGCTAAATTCGCCTCATAAATTCCCAATTAATACGACTGAAGAATAAAGGGAAATTAAAATGGAGTATGCAGAAACAATAGAAGAGTTTGCACATGAGCGGTTTAATTAATCGTTGGCAAAAAAATAAAAAGAGTGGCTTAATTAACAGGTGATGAAAATGTCTTTAGGAATACTCATATGGCAACAGTGGCTCACGGTATGGAGAAAGTAAGAGGGCACATTAAAGGAAAAGGAGTGCCTGTTGAAGCGAATATATGTGATTTCACGTACGATCATTCACACCCTCAAGTCAAAGCTGATAAGGCAAGGAAGAAGCTAGAAAATATTTTACTCTTCCTATTCTTAATATAGGATCTAATTAACTAATTTGAATAGATTAAATATGTTATTTAAATTAATTCATATAATTTGTTTTTTTAAATACCGTACTCCTCTTTCTTGATTATCTCCCTTTCTCTTCTACTTAATTATTATATTGTTTAGGGAATATCAGTAGGATTAATTTGAGAAAAATCAATAAACATGTGAAATAAGTTTATATACAAGACTAACATCAATTTTTCTATATTAAAGACAGAAGGAGTACGTAATTTGTATTTCTATGAACTTTCCTTTAAAATGTCTGAATTTTGCTCACCTCTAGAATGCGTGACTTTTTCCATATATTCTAATTAATCATAATGTTACTTTCTGAATTCACAGCTCTTCAGCATCTTAAAAGAAGATTCTATTTTTCACAAGTGATCTGTCGCCCACTGTAATAAATACTTATTACTACGAGTATATATTTCCTAATTTATTTATTTATTTTTTTTAAGAATAACTCAATACGTTTTCCCTCTCACAAGACTTAATCTAGAACGCTTTACTTTGGAGGTAAACCTGCGTCGCAGGATCAATGAACCTGCACCTGCCTTCCTTTGAAAGAATTGTATATTAACATGTGCTGCAAAACATATATGTGGAATATTTCACTGCCGATGTCATAATCATTTTAGGATATTATACGAAGAACATCGTGAAAGTGAATTACCAGCTGTGCTGAAGCATACTGATGATTCTTCCAACTTCCAAATCAATCAGTCCCTCAAGTCACAAAAGATAGATATGGATATATAAAAATTAAATAATAAGTGCCTTTCCAATTAAATGTTCTTCATTGATATGATTCAAGAATACTGCAAAATATTTCTTTTTCATGTCTGCCTTCTTTTTTTTTTTTTTTGTTCAATTCAATGGATGCTGGCCCCGACAAATTCATTAATGGAAAATTCACTACAACTTCATAGCAACATCACATGAGTCAAACATTGTACCTTTAATGTGTTTGTGCGTGATTCAATTTCAGCATTTCTACTTTACAGGATAATTAACGACCACACCACGTCTATTGGACATTTTTGGCCACCAGATGACCTTTAGATTTTATATTGATATTCTGCAAATAATTTAAAAAAGAAACACTGATAGGAAAACAGTGAACCTGCAGTACTTGTAGGAGGACAGTAAATTTTATTTGATTAATTATGATATATACATATATGATTATTGATTAATAAGAAGTAAACAGCTAGGGAATCATATATGAATATATGGATGCATGTAGCAATTTAAAACTTACACGGGACAAGGTTTTTGTTGGCATTGCTGGAGATAAGTTAATGAGGTAAGACGATGATTAATTTAATTTAGACTGAAGTCCAAAAAGGGTTTAATTAAGCGTATGTAACAATTAAACTCTTACGCATTAGGCCGAGAGGCTCATAATCCAATTTTCTCTCCTGTTCTCGCAGACAAGTTAAATTCAACCCAACCTCCACGACCCCCACCGAATATATTCCGTTAAAATTATTATGTATTACTATCATTTTTTCAAAAAAGAAGTTAATAAAGTTATCATGTTGAAAGTTTAGTTTTGATGGCCAATCATTGGTAGTCTGTGCTGGGATTTCATCCAATAAATAATTAAGATAATCCCAGAGGCAAATATATATAATAATAATAATTGAAACGCGTGGACCCCTCCTGGGCTGATTCAATTTAGAGAGATAAAGGATTGGATTGGATTGAAAGGCTGAGGAAGGTGTGTTAACTTCTGGGAACTGATTGACTTTTCCACAAAGAAAGCACAAACGCAAAGCATAATATACAGTATATACTTTAAATAAATATTAAGTATATAATGTTTGGAGGCTATTAATTAAAAAAAAATGATCGTATGTTTATGCTTGATGATTAAGAAGCCTGATCCAAGCCGGATGACAAGGGGGGAACGAACGGATCGTGGCCGTTGAAAGGGATGACGATGACGTCATGAGGACATCAGGGGCTCTAATTAATTAAAGAGGCAAATGATTAATTAGCGCCTATTTCAAACAAAACACTGTTTCATGTGTTGAGACAGGTGACAAAACATTGTGTCATCAAACCCCCAACACACATAATCCTAAATTTGAAATTTCAAAGAGACTTTAAACCTAGTCCATCGGCTCTTCCAACCAGTATGTGTAGGTTTTCCATTTCCAACTAGCTAAAAACCGTTTAATATAAGATTTGTTTGACTAATTTAAAAATATCAAGAAAATTAAAAAAATCACTTTAAAATATGTATATTTATTGTTTTCTTCCAAACTAATTCACATAACTTATAAACTAATATATAATTTAATGATATACATAATTAATTAATTTAACCTTTTTAATCTTTCCAAATCAGTCAAATGAGTCTTATATTAAAATTAGAGATAGTAATAAGCAAGCGCAAAATTAATCCCTGGATACAGAAATATTTGCGTGCTGTGTATTTAAATTTAAATTCCCGCTGGTTTCTGTGAAAACTAATTCAACTTGTAACTTATTTATTTTAAGGTATACGTAATTTCGTGCCTTATACTCATACAATTATCTATGTTTTTTTTTTTGGGGGGGGGGGGGGGGAATTACGGCTAGAGGCGCGCGCGCGCACACACACATGTATCTCTAGGCTAGTTATTACAGTTATGTTTGGCTGTTTGGAGTGTCGGCAGCAAACAAAACAAAACCTGGCAAACAAATCCTCCAGCCATACAGCTCGCGTCAGTAAAACTCAATTTACCAATCCCAAATATGTTTGGCTGCTCTGAAATTTCCGTTGCACAAATTGAAATTGCCTTTCAAACTGGTTTTTATCGACGTTACTTAGTTTATATACATAGTTTCGCGAACAGATTTCCAAACACAGAAGTCAATCCACCTCTATAAAATATCCCATTAGATGTTCCTTCTTTCAGAAGATTTGAAGCAACAAAAAATTTAAAAGTTCAAACTTTGCAGCAAAGGACAACTTAACACCGAATCAAAAAGAGCTGCTCCTAATTAGTCGTTATTACTTACTCTTATGATATAGAATTTTATTTTATTTTAATAAAAAAAGGTACATGCATGATGCATCACTTCTTCTAGTATCTTCTCACTCTAATTCACCGAATCAAATGAGTTAAGGGAATTACTTGTCTGTTAATTAATGAAAACACGGTTAGCATATTGATCATATCATGATATTATACGATGTCAAGTTTTAAATATAAGAGCTAGTTAACTAATACGAGTAGATTAAAAAATAAGTTAAATTAATTATTTATAATAAATAAGTGTTGTTTTTCTAAAATATTTTTGCTAATCAAGTGTATTGTTAGAATTATCTTTGAAAAAAATAAATAAAATAAGAGACAAAATAGATTGAGGTATTATATTTAAGACAAAAATAAAAGTCAAATAAAATCTTATATTAAAAAACTGAAGGTGGTACTAAACTTCCCGGGGGAAAAAAAAACACAGATCTGTCACTACCATGGCCATCACATCCATCCGTGCATGCGCGAGTTGAATTCAAGATCCATATTTGAAGTTAATTTTCTGTAATTAATTATTAGTCATGATCAGAAATTAAAGAAGCTTGGTTCACACATGGATATATGACCAAAACTCATATATACGTTTGATTAAATATAATATTAAATAAACTGATACCGATAGCAATGCTTTAATTTGCTGCAACTGATGATCAGAAAAGATTAATTATATTATTATTCCTGTTGAGTATGGTGTGTAAATCATCAGTCACATTCAAATGAGCTGATAGGCTTTATATATTAATTAAAGTATCTTATAATTAAAAAGCCAGTTGTTGGGGGGTGCGGAGCTAATTAAAGATTAGGCATATATCAGTAAACTCATACGGAATTGCATGTGTCAGGCCATGCTTATCCATTAATTGGCATCTCATTATTATTGTTATGCAGATAAAAAGATTCCTTTTTTAAGAGATAAGAAACACAAATTAAGAAGCAAAGTGTGGATGAGAGATGATCAGACAGGCACCTACGACAAGTGCTTAGTCAAACTGGT